AGTCGGATTGAAAGAAATTATAAAAAAGTTAGACTTGTTCAAGTAAACAAATTATTATTAAAAAAAATGTCGAGGTTTGATTATTTGTTTATTCTTACCGATTATTATAATTAGGGTGAACTTGAATCATCCGAATATAACGTTAAGGTGCATAACGATATGTCTTTGAATCAACGTCAGGCACAAAAATTGATTTTAGTATTTTTTTATATTTTGGTTTGTTTGAAAGATTCGAATTTAAATTAGTGATATAGAATATTACTTGTTGTAATCAATTTACGTAAGATGTTATTTTAAAGTGAGTACGCATGTACAAAGTTATTGCGGAATGATTAATGTGAAACGTAAAAATAGTATTTCTTAGAGTTGGTAGAGTATAGTAGGTTAGGATGCCGTATTTTTATACACGGTTAGTAAATTAGAAAGTCAATTTTTAAGTCAATTCTGTTACTACTTGCATTATTTTAAAAACAAATTTTTACATTAATACAACCTAAACTAACCAAAGGATTTTAATCAAAATTAAAAAAAAACGGAAATGAAGTACATACATTCTGATGCCATTATGCCGAAATACTTAGTAGTACTAAAAATATTTATAACAAAAACAAATAAATCAGAGTTTACATTATAAAATGAATTACTAGGAAACGGATTAAAAACTGTGTTTACTACGTTTATGTTTTATTACATAACAAAATAAAACTGTTCTACCGGGAGCTATAAATCGAGCAAAATTTTTATAACGTCAAATTGATGAATCAAACTGTGTTGACAACATAATTCTAATATAGACGACGTGGAAAAATTTCATACATCATAAAAAAAGAATGATTCAAAATTTTGAAATAATTAAAGAGATTCATCTGATGAAGAAATAGTATACGTAATGATATATATGATATAATAAAAATAAATTGCAAAGGGATAATCTGAAGGAAATCTAAACTGATTTCAGTGAAATTTTTCAAAAGACACTTTATTGCTTCAATTGAAACCAAAAAGTACATTTCAATATTATAGATGGTGATTTTACTTTAGCCGGGAATAAAACCTGCCCATTTTGCAGAAAAAGTACACATCATTTTTTATTCAAACTATCAATAGTAATAAACATGGATATTTCGTGTCATGGGTGTCATAATAGGTGACAGAGAGAAACTGAAACTGTTAAGAGCTCAAAGTAAAAAAATAAAATTGATAGAGTTTCATCGTATTTTTGAACTCATATAAGTCTATTCTTTATTTTCAGTTACCCTAGCTTATTTATTAAGGTTACCTTGTTGCTTTTGTAAGGATAAAAATATACAATATGCGAGTTAAGAGGAAAGACTACCTGACGCTGTATACTCTACGCTCCGGGAAGTCTGAATTTTGTGAGCGCGTACAAGATCACCCCCGTCACTACATCAGATTACATAGATCGTGACGCTATTGAAATCAAAGAACATCCTTTGCCATAACATCTGCTTGGGATACTATAGTTAATAAAATTAAATCCCAACCCAACATACAACTGCAAGAACTCAAGATACTGAAAGTTCATACTGTATATATCAGAACAAAAATTAATAATTTTAATCTGTGGTAACCGCGGTTAATTATGATATCTGCAGGTTGAACAATTTAGCCCCCCCCTCCCGCGTGACCATGGATGCTGTAAAGTGCTCGAAACGTCGGGAATATAAAAAAAGTTAATATATGCGATAAAATCAGTTAAAAGTAGTATTATTTAAATGTAGCGTTCGCGTAAATATAAGAAATCATTATATACATCGCAGATTAAAGTACCTTTCCTGACATATATAATTGTTGCCTGATTCTTACTGGCATAATAATGATGTGTTTGAATCATCAGCATAATCATCTCTTCTTAAGTCCACTGCTTATCATATGTCTCCTACGAGAAATACGACCAAAACACGATCGCGAGGGTCCTGCATTAATTTACGAGCTATATACCCGCAAAATTGTCGCCTTAAGTTGCTGATATGTTGGTTTATGTCAGTTACTCTCATTCTACTACGGATTACATCGTTACGGATTTTATCACGCAGAGATATTTCTATTTAGATTCTCTTAGGATACCTAAATGTTAAATTTAAATACTGATTGAAATGTTTTACGAAATTTTGAAATATATTACTTTACTTTTGTATAAAAAGTTTAGAAAAGAAACCAAGAAAAAAGCAAGAAAGAACGGATAAGAATGATAGAAAAATATCGGATAACTTCCAGTCAAATATTAAAATGTTCTGGAAACTTGTAAGAACTGCTTGGGGACATTCAAAACAGCCTATGATGAATGCTATAAGAGACGAGAATGGCTATATTCTGAATGATGAAGTTTTGAGTTTAAAGAGATGGAAGGAATATTTTGAAAGCCTGTTTATGAGTGAGGAGACAACGTGTGTACTAAGTAATGGATAAACTCCGAAAGAAGAGGAAAGAGGTAGCGAGATAAGTATAGATGAAATAGTGAAAGCAATGAAAAGCATGAAAGCAGGTAAGGCTGCCGGATATGATAGAGTTTCACTCGAAATGCTAAGGGCTGGAGAGGAAGTTGTGGCAGGCCTGCTGCACACCTTGTTTAATTTATGCTTGGAACTGAAGCGGGCACCGGTAGACTGGTGCAAAGCCGTGATAGTCCCAGTATATAAAGGAAAAGGGTCGCAGCAGGACTGTAAAAACTACCGTGGCATTAGCCTTCTTAGCATTGTGGGAAAACTGTATGCTAAGGTACTGATTGAAAGGGTCATGAAAGAAACTGATGGAAAAATTTGGGATGTGCAAGCGGGATTTAGAAAGGGAATGGGATGTACAAATCAAGTCTTTTCCATGCGCATGATGGCGGAGAAGTTTTTGGCCAAAAACCAAAAGGTTTTTTGTGCGTTCGTGGACTTGGAAAAGGCCTATGACAGAGTGGATAGGGATGTGCTATGGCAAACACTGAACTCATTTGGGTTGAGCGCTGGCTTGATACAGGCATTGGAGTCTCTTTATAGGGACTCTAGTGCTTGTGTTAGGATCAAAGGAGTCTACTCGCACTGGTTTGACATCCATAAAGGTGTCAGACCGGGCTGTGTGGCTTCCCCGTGGCTGTTCAACCTATTTATGGACAGTTGTTTGCAAAATTTGAAAGTTGAAGAATGCGGATTAAGAATGGGTGAGTTAACCGTCAAATGCCTTTTGTACGCCGAGGATCAAGTTATTCTTGCGTCGTCGGCGGCCGAGTTGCAAATGATGGTTACATTAATGAACAGATCATTAAAAGAAAGGGGTATGAAAGTGAACGCAAGTAAGACGAAGGTTATGGTTTTTGAAAGAGAAGAAAGTAAAACGATTTGTGAAATAAGAATAGAAGGGTAGTTGATCGAGCAAGTAGATGAGTTTGTATATTTGGGCTGCGTATTTAGCAGGGATGGGAGATATGATAAGGATATAGAACGACGAGTAAATGCGGGAAGTAGAGTAAATGGGGCCCTGCACTCTATTGTGAAGAGTCAAAATGTGGCAAAAAAGGCACGTATGGCAATTCACAATGCTGTGTTGGTCCCTACTTTAACGTATGGCAATGAAAGTTGGGTGTGGCAGAAGAAGCACGAGAGTAGAATCAACGCAGTAGAAATGCGGTCGTTAAGGAGTATGTTAGGGCTAAATCTGAACGACAGGGTAAGAAATTGTGTAATAAGAGAAGAGTGTGGTTTGCAAGATGATGTTGTGACCAGGATTAAGAAAGGAATGCTTCGGTGGTTTGGTCATGTGGAAAGAATGAATGAGGAATGAGTGACAAAGAAAATTTATATGGCAGATGTGAACGGTAGAGTCGGGAAGGGACGCCCTAGAAAAAAAGTTTATCGACCAAATTGGCGATATTTTGAAAATGGGCCAAGTTAAAAGTACCCTTAACCGACGAGCATGTATGCGTAGATATGTGGATGTAAAGGAGGCGAAAGAGGTATGTCAGGATCGTGTCAAATGGAAGTCTGTGGTCTCTGCCCACCTCTCTGGGTGACAGGCGTGAGTGTTTATGCTATTATGATTTGTGTTATGTATATATTTCATATACAAAAGTAACACATATATGTGAAATATACTCATTAATACCATACAATATCTCATGAAATAGCAAAATTTTAACTTTAGCCAGCATAATAGTAATCGCCTCATATAATATAAATAAAGTTCTCACACAAATCCTATACTCATTATTACAAGTTATTCGTATTCGTTACCAACTACCATGACATACTAACAATTTTCGGTTCTTCGATTTATTTCGCCAGTTCATTGTTAGGTCACATCTTACTGATTCCGTATGAGCCCTGTATCGATAAGCGATGTCTAGGGCGCCCCCCTTTAGATGGAGTGACAACCTTGTAAGATATGCAGAAAGTTGATCGAAGCAGATTGCTCAGAGCCATGTTTTGTGGCAGGCCTATGTTCAGCAGTAGATTTCTGGAGGATTGTAACGATGTAGATGATGATGGGGATAAGCAGATGTATGCTGATTATTTTCGTTAGATATCAAAATTGGACCATTTTTTTTTGTTGTCTAATCTATATTTCCCAAGGGCCTATATACTTTTACAGTAATCTTAATTTAATTTCAACTAGATTTAATGGTTATATGGTTATACTTTATGGCTTGAAGAACCAACAATCGATAGGCATAAAAGGTTTTCGAGTGGCAGCCTTGTACCGGTAGGCGTAATGTGGGGCAACCCCACACTAGATGGAGTGACGACCTAGTAAGACATGCAGGATGTCCATGGATGCAGGTGGTTCAGAACCGTGGTTTGTGGCATTCCTTGGGGAAGGCCTATGTTCAGCAGTGGACTTGTGAAGGGATGCAATGATGACAATGATGACTTGATTAACTGAAGTCGACTTATATGTTTTATTTTTTATTTTTTGTATTTCTTTTATATAATAGGCTTGTATGGTTTTACAGTGCGAAAAGACAATCTTTATAAATCAAACATTCCTTGACCTTCAAGATGCTTAAACCGAAGAAAGCGAGGGATGACTCTGTAAGTAGGGTGGATTTTACCTTGTTACGTACAGCTCAAAAGCTAAGTCATGAATGAGCTTATTATGAAGACATTGAATTTTGCATATCAAAAGATTTTATTATTTTAAAGCATTTGTTTTGTTACTTAAAATTACTTAATATTGCAAAATTTCTTGCTATTAATACAATACATATCAATTTCTCTCTTTACTACTATTTAAAGTCTATATAAATCTGATTAAAAATTTATAGTAAATATAAATAAAATATTTTTTTATTTTAATATAAGGAAATAATGTTTCCTCGCAGTATTAAACCTGTTTTAAAAACAAAATTATATCTGTTTAAAAATCATGTTAATACATCATCATCATCATCATTACAGCCCTTCACAAGTCCACTGCTGAACATAGGCCTAGGCATGTTAATACATAGTATGTCTTAAACCCTAATATTGTATTTAATATTCTGAAATATTAATATATATATAATAAGAATCTTGTACCTAAATTTTATACGTTATTTTATACGTGTTAGAATTTTTATACGTAGTAGAGTTGTAACACGATTTGGTGATAAACGACCACACAGTCCACTTGACGGTAAATGGTTGCTGTGGCTCATAGAAATCTTCATCTATCCTCGACTACGGCTTAAAATGCAGATGCGTTGTCACCCGTGAGGACTAAGATGGAATGCCTAGTTTCTCTATACTCACCATACGAAACACAGCAGCGTTAAGTTACTATTTTAAGCTGTTATTCTGTAAGAGCGTGCTCTTTCCCTGGTGGAGCCCACCATTTGTGCTACAACTATACTACTAACATAACTGCAGCATGGCTCTACCACGTATAAAAGCAGCCTGGGCCACATTACTCATACAATTGGCCGGCATTGGTGTAAAAATCTTTCTAGTGTTGCATTGCCCGTTTCCTTGCATTTTACATAATAAACTAGACTTTTGCTTTGCTGCGGAGGCAAGGTAGTTATGACAAATATTTTGTATTTGTGAAAATATTGTACTGGAAGTTAACTAACAAAAACAGTAGGAGTGTGGGGATTACGTCGATACGGAGTGCAGAGGAAAAATTTGTTACATAATATCCGAAATGACAAAGATAAGTTCCACGTTTTAGCTTTTTTGAATAAGGAATAAAGTCACTGATTACTCGCTGTACCATTAAGTAACCACGACAGATTACTAAATGGGAAAAGCTTGCGCATAGCGATAGGAATTCGAATAGGAGCGGCGATCCGTCGACCTCTAAGTGCCCTTATGGTAGTAGTGTTCACGAGTTTGGTCGCCATAGACTTTCGTGTAACAAAAGTGCTGGTAGATTGTTCCTTCACGGTTATTTAAATGATGTTATCCGAAGAGCTCTTGTCTCTATAAATGTTCCCTCGGTTTTGGATCCTTGTGTAATATTAATTTTTTATTAATTAGATACGATGGCAAGAGAGCCAAAGATTGACTTTGGTTCCTTGAGAGAGAAGTAAAGCCCTTGTATTAACAAGGGCTTTACTCTCTCAAGGAACCAATGCTATATGCGTTTGTTTAGAGCCGGGGCGGCATGAGAGGCGAAACTGAATAAGTGGCGCAGGTATGTTTCTGAGAAATTACTAAATATTTGTACCATTTGCTGTAGAGACTATCGGTCTGTGGGTAGTTTCAGTTTTTATAATCATTGTAATTAAATTTATATTAAAAATATACTATTTTGATGTTATAAAATTTGAATAAGTATCTAAAAAAAATCTTAATAGAAAGTAAAATCCGCCTCTAAATAATAAGAGTCAGTACTAAGATATACGTTGTGTATAGATTAAAGATAGAAACTATTTTAACTTTTTAGTTCTTTGTTATTTATTTTAATTTTTAATTTTTATTGTTTTAACTTTTTATCAAAAGTTTTTTTTACACTCTTGAGAAGACTAAAGAATATTACAATCTCAATTCTGTCCTATTAGTTTTAAAACTTTATTCTCTTTTTATACTTTAAGGGAAGAGTTTTACTCTACTCATAAAACATAAACTACATAACAAACAAAAACATTACAATCGTTTGACTATCCATGAAAATGTCGCCTATAAAATGAAAAAAAAAAACAAGAAAAACAAACAGTCGAATTTTTAACAGCTTTCATTTTTGAATTTGCCCAAAAGTGACATTTTATTCCAGATTGCGTTAAAATTAACTAAATGAAATATTATCATACGTTTTCTAGTATTTAAGATGTAATGTTAAACTGAAAATTCTAAGAACAAGAATGGTTAAAGCAGTTGCTAAGTGTAGCAGTAAGTCATTTTGATTGGTACAATAATTATCTTATACTACTCGAGAGATGACGACTAACGAGCACTAAGTCCACCTGACGGTTGAGAATGCTGTAGCTAATACACTCCTAAAATTATACTCGGTTGAGAATAAAAATGCTGATGTGTTACCAGGCATGCTGCTTAGGAAGAAATCATTACATTACAGAAAAATAGAATCTGCGGTTCACTCCACTTACGTTGAGAAATACTGCAGCAATAAGCTTCTATTTTATGTTGGCATTTTGCCTCCTCTTTTTGATGTTTTCTTTTATCATAAATTTTATCATATTTTATTTATTTTATTTTAACCTTCAAACGCACGGGCGGGGTCTGGCCAGACCCCACGCGCTTTTTTTTGACGGTAATTTTTGACATTGACAAGTAACGGTCGCGCGCTTTCGGCTAATCTCAGTGCGCCGCAGAGTCTCTCGACGGGTGGATGTACGTCGCGCTTTCGCTGAGGTAAATACGTATTTTACCTTCTTGGGGATCCCTGTAGACCCCACCCGTGCTTTTACATACTATGAATTTTCAATGTGGTTATTTTTATTCTTGCTTCTTTTTCAGAGTTAGAGTTCTAAAACAAAAAATGAGTCGTCAACTCTAAGAAAATGTCATAGCACAAATCCTAGAGGATTGCAGTGACTCTGAAAGCGAAAAAAAACAAGAAATTTCAGAAGATGAGGTTAACATAAGCGATCAGGAAACTATATACAGTGAACATGATTCTGTGTCCGAAATAGAGCAAAGTGACGACTCCTCCGCAAGTGAATCTGAAGAGGAAACAATGAAAAATTATTTCTACGGTAAAAACAGATACAAATGGAGCAAGACACCTCCACATCCGTCTCGTATTCGACAGCACAACATCTACGAAGAGCGCGCTGGTTTGAAAGGACCTGCTCTTAGTAAAAACGAAATGTCACCAGTAGAAACTTGGGAACTTTTGATTACCGACGACATTACCCAAGCTATAGTGTAGTATACTAATCAAAAACTAGAAGCTAAATATATTCCACCATTGGTGCGGCCCTACTATGCCAAAAACATTGATAGTTGTGAGTTACGAGCTTACTTTGGATTACTTTTACTTTGCGCGATTTTTAAGTCAAATCACGAAGACGTTCGATCTTTATGGGCAACGGACTTCACTGGCAGATATATTTCGTGGCGTAATAAGTTTAAACCGATTTTGTTTATGTTATTAATTTATTGTTGTGCAAATTGATTGACAAAGGCTGATTTCGATGAAGCTGGCCCTAGTGCCCCAAAAATGAAGCGTAGATGCTTTATTTGCCCAAAGGCAAAAGACAAAAACAGTACTATTGTTTGCAAATCTTGCAAAAAAAAAACTAGTTGTAAGCCTCATTCAATAGTAATTACTTACTGTTTACCATGCCAACCCAATGATTAATTTTTAACGTTACTGCTCCATAGCAATATTGAGGCGTTGTCATTTTTTTGTTTATTTTTAATTTTTGTTCTAATTACATGTTTTTAGTTCCTATATTATAGAAAAATAACAATAAGTTTCTCAAAAGTTTTTAGCGTATTTGTTAAGTGCCTTGAAAAAATTCTAAGTACGAGTGGTTAATTTTTAATTGTTTCTCATTGTTAAGAGACTGACTTTTTAAGAATAATAAATACTTTTTTATAAACAATAATGTGCCTTTTCTTATAATCTAAAATCTAATTTTAAAAAAATCTAAAAATAAAAAATATATGGCAAATATTTATGGGGATACTTCAGGACCCCGCCCGTGACGGAACGCTACCAAAAATAACGCGTGTAGCTAAAGGTTAAAAAGTAATCTTACATTTTATAAAATGTGCTTAGGAAATCATATATAAAATAATAGGCACTGTCAAAAATTCAACGAATTCAATTCCACTAGGCTTCACACACAGTACTCCAATATTGTTTACATACATTACCTCGTGTCGTTCGTGACGAAAAACTAAATTCAATATTACTGTTACATCGAGTTTCATGAATATAATATAATATTGTTAACCTTCGCAAATATAAAGTCCTACGTGGTTATTTATCAAACATGACTCTATTTTATTAGTAATGCAAACAAGATAAATTATTGCTGTATTTAGGTTCTTTTTCATCTCCTTCTGACTCTCTAAATAATGATGATTAAATATTACTTTTGCGACATTATTTCATGTCAGTTGAAAATTTAATCAATTGTTTAGTGCTTTCCAGTGTGGCTAGAAGGCATAAAATACATTTTCTACTTTAATTGATATAAAAGAGAGTCATTTAGTTATAAAGAAAAATAAATACAAGTATTTTTTTATGACTAGTCTAGGAAAATAACAGCGCAATATAATTGGAATCGGCGCCAGCAGTTGGTTTGGCTGTCCTTGAAAAAATAATTTACATTCTCTTAGAATTCTTCCATTATTTATCTTTAGACTATTGCCAAATTTACTGTAGATTGCGATTCGAGACTTGAAATTACCACCATACTGCCGTGCTAGCGTAAAAAGCAACTTTTCGAAAATTGACTTTTAAACAATAGTACAACGTTGAAGACAAGTTCTATTCACTGAACTTATCGGTATTTTTCTTTTTTTCGTTATTGAGATAATATGGTTATAAAATAAGGTAAATACCTTCATTTCGAATTCGAAGTTGTTGATGAGTAGCCTACTCGGAATTTCGAATTCGAAATTTAGGTATTTACTTGAGACAAATAGTCCGACTAGGTAAGTCCAACTCCGACCAAGATCGTCAACGGATTCAACTGGGCTGGCAGCGTTCAGGAAATTACGACACATCTTCTCGTCACATATACTTCAAAACCTGAAAACAAGATTGTACAACCAGTGATGACTTATGGATATGAGACGCGATCCTTCACTGCTGGCCGTATGAGGACGCTCAAGGTCGCTCAGTGAGCTATGGAGAGGGCTTTGCTCGGGGTTTCTCTGGGTGATAAACTTAGAAATGAGGATATCCGGATTAGTAGCCCAACGTATTAGTAAGCTGAAGTAGGAAAAATGTTCTCGAGGGGCAGCGTCGTACGTAGTGTAAGGTGACAACTAGATGGAGTGACGACCTGGTAAGACATGCAAGAAGTCGATGGATGCAAGTGGCTCAGGACCGTGCTTTGTAGCATTCCATGGAGGATAATTTGATTGATCTTAATGATATAGGGGATAAGGAGATTTAAACTGATTATTATCATTGGATATCAGATTGAATGTTTTTTTTTCTGTTGTTTAACCTGTATTACCCAACAAGGGCTGTAATGATGATGATGGTGATGACCTTAATTAAATAGTATAATAATTTTGAATAACATTATATATCTTCATGAGTTTTAAACGACGTATTTACAAATTTTTAAAGTAAACGTATATAGTATAAAAATATTTTAATTAATTTGTGTTTTAGTTCATACAGCAATAAACTAATAAGAATAAGATGAAATAAAGTTTTTAAAATTTTGTTGCATTTTAGTCAATTAGATGAATGAAACCAAAACTGTTTGAGTCCAAGAGTAATTAATAACATAACGTATGTTTAAATATTTAAGTTAAGAAAATTAAATATAAATTTTCTACTGAATGCTATTGTAACGTACTCCCTCCAATCTTATATACTATATTATTTTCCCTTTTCTATCTAACTATATCTATATTCGTGACCAGAATAAACAAATATGTTTTTATCTTTCCAAATGATCTTTCAAAAGGTTTAGTTATAGGCCGTTTATAGTATTTATGGTGTAATCGTCTTAGTTAGTACCTTTATTTACGTAGTGTTGGTTTATTAACTTAGTTATTTTCGTATCTTTTGGAAAGAATGAATATTCACTAGGCCCATTGAAAGCCGTCGGTAGTGCCTTATTAGCTAAGGGAACTCCGTTAACGAATACAGGGCTCGAGAAAAGTTAAGAACATTTAATCGTCCCTATTCCACTTGTATTAGGTTTATGTTAGTGAATTTCTTATTAATTAATCCATTCCCGCTTGGGAAAGACTCACAATTTTTATACAAAATACCCGATACAAGGATCCAGCCACAGTGAATGTACGTCACACGCTTTAGGCAAATAGAGATCCCACGTTGTGCGGCTTTCAGCCGTAGCCTTGAGAGTCTCCTCAGATCCTCCCTCCAGTTACCACACGCATGAGGTGGACACATATGCTCCACCAACCAATACAACGACAGATGTAGCTGAAAGGTAATTATAAGATAATAATAATAATTTGCCATCAGAGAGGGCTTTGTGTCACTGATGTTGAGTATATGCATTCTTCGATCATGTTTGTCTCACCTAACAACAAGTTGGCTTCAATAATTCAAAGGTGGAAAATTTACAGAGAGATATTATGTTGTTACATAAAACATCATGGGCAGACAGTTTGTAGCCCCGTAATAAATGGACCCAACTTGGACAAAGCTACTTATGAGTGAGTTAAACCAAGACGCAAAGAAAGCCATTGAGAATAGCGACACGATAAGCAACTATTGCAGAGGCGCAATGCACAATAAGCAACAGGCATCAATACGAATATAGTCGGGCTTTCACCATCCAAAGGTTTCCCATACAATCATAGCAGACATAACCACCCTCATACCTCTAGCGACCAGAACCACAAAATGTGTTGGATCAGGCACAGCACACCCGTAGATCCATCATAAGACGTAATACCGCAAGTAGCAGTAAGCATCAATGCAACTATTATACCGATGGCACCCCCTCACAACACACCTACACTATCGTCTTTGGTATCAAAATTGGTATTGTTGTTAACTAAAAATAACAATAACGTAATGGTGGGCGCCCTAATTAATGCCTGGTATACGGCGAGTTATTAGGAAATAGGAGCGTCAAGATCTTTATAGAAAATTCACTAGCGCCATCTAGTATCGAGTAGTAGAACTAGGCGAGCTTTCTAGAAAATTCCATACTAGAACTTTCAACACCTAATCAGTCGTGACCAGTATGTACTCGAACATTCTAGATGTTTCAGTAGAAGAGACCCTATATAAAGCCGGTAACGACCGTATTGAATTGGCGATTTAAGCGAATACTTGGAAGCGATACAACTGCGAATTTTGTTTTATTATTAGTGTATTTTAAATTGTTATTGATGTTCGGCAATTAAAGTGTCAATTTTTGTAATTCAATCGGCAGTTTTTTAATTGTCACGAACCCCGAGCTCGTAATGGTACTATAGTAGCACACTACTAAGATGCCAGTAGTCAATAATCCACGTATCATACCGTTAATGCACTAATAGCGCTAATTCTCTTAGAAATGGATTTGAGTATGCTTGTTACACTTAAAAATGCTAACAAACACACTCATCCCCATCCGAAAGATAGCCGACGTATCTTAACGCTATGCGCTAAGACACGGCCCACAAACGGTATGGGTGTGCGATGTCCACGGGCAAGCCGTATTGCTACAACTAACCCGTTTACCACCGGCACTAAGATGACTTGTCTAGGACACATTGGTTAGCGAGTTCAAATTAATCTCAGTATCGGACGCTACGATGCAGTCTACACGCCACTATAATAATCCTTTCAAGACCCATTTTTCTTAAAATAATGCTTTTACATATAAGAGAATTCCACGTATTTGATAGAACTTACTATAATATGTCTTTAATACATGGGATTTCAACCTAAAACTGTACTATCATAATGTATATGCATCATAGAGACCTTCTTTAATAATGCTTTTCTATCAGAGACCTTACTATTATAAGTTCCTAATATAGGACTATACATTGTGCAACAGTACTATAGTAGTAGGTCACCCAACTACACCATGTATATACACCCTTTGGTATACGTCTTGCAGCTCCAACTTTACATGAATTACAAGAAAACGCTGCAACTTTACATGAAGACGCTCAATAATTCAGACATTTTTTGACCAACTTTCCAATTATTTTATTAATGTTGTTTATCTTTATTATTGTAATATTTTAGAATTGTATTTCTAT